TACAACGGGATGTTTGAAAAAATACATACGAAATCCTAACCTCTAATATTCAAAATGTATGATTTCTTAAAATTCTTGCATTAGTGCAGAACCACTTATGTTATGTTATTACTAGACCCTAAAAACCCCATCCTAGACTAACAGTGAAACAACCAAAAATAAAAAATAATCATTTTCACTTGGGGGACATCTCAATATATTCACCCATATAACACTGGTCAGTAGCCATTTTGCGGCCTATAAAATATATGTTTACATGCCTTTTTGACATTTAAAGTTTTTGGCATTTTTAAATTTTGACATTTAACATAGGATCTTTTTCAAAAATTCCCATTACCTACCTGGGAAATCCCCAGAATGTGGTAAATTTTTTTATTGATTTTTACAAACAATTTTTATTTTTTGACTGAAAAAAATTGTATTTGATTTTTGTATAAATTTTTAATTAAATTTTTTTTTTTAATTAGATTTTGCTAATGAAAAAAATACGCTCTACATGGTTTGAACTTTGAAAATTAAAAGCACTTTATCTGAAACAATTTTATTACTCAAAAAAAAAATGTATTAAAACAAATTTTCTATACAGGGTGTTATGTAATTAATGTTATATATTAAAATCCCTTAGGGTCCATAAAGAAGCACCTGAAACTTTTTTTTTCTAAATTCCAAAGTCTAAAAATAATTTATAATAACCTTTATCCTACCAAAAAGTACGCCACTGATCGACTAGGACCTTTAGGTTAATCTGGTGGATTTATTATGTTATGGTTGGTAACAGTGTTTCCAAAATCTCTCAAAAAAGTTGACAAACATTGTTTAAATTTAGCTTAATTACAAAAATGACAAAATTAACAATGCAAATTGTCAATTTGGCGTTTTTATTAATTGTTGGTTATTTCATTTTTGTACTGAAGGTAAATTCAAACAAAATCTGCCAACTTTTATGACAGAATCTAGTGCATTTCTTTTAAATTTTAGGTTATGTTTTCAAATTGTAAATATCTTAACTAAGGGAAGTGCTTTTGGATTTATTTACACAAATTAAATGTTTAAAGTTTAACTTGTGAACTGGTCCCAATTTCATCTGAGTAAACAGAGAAAAAAACTGATGAAAAAATTAATTTTGTGGTTATGGATTTCAAATTTCAAAGGTTCTAAATTTTCTAATCATTGCTTAAGCTAATAGCTGGATCAGTAAATAAATACAGACGGGTATTAGAGCTTTACGGGCATAAAACTTTTGTATTTATTGAGTTTTTATTTATTTTTTGCAAGAAAAATTTTTAGTAACGATTTTTTACATCTGGCAACGCATAGCTACTTTGTTGGTTGGTATCTATGTACTCACAAAATACAGGTGTGCAGAGATAAACAAGTGTGTAACCAGTGGCGTATCACAAAAAATATAAGAAACTTCTAATGCATATAATTCCTTTTCTTGGGAAAAATGTTTTTTTAAATATTTTTCCTTTATTCCTTATGTCAAAAGGTATTCAGTATTTTAATATATAACATTAATTACATAACACCCTGTAGAACAAATCACGAATTGTTCCCAAATTAAATTTAAAAAATATATAAAGCATTTTCAAAGATATTAAGAAAAATAAAACCAAAAAATAATTGCGTAATTTTTCCGACATATTAACTGTACCAATACATTTGCACAGCATAAAATACACCATCCTTCTATTTTATCGCTTCAAAGAAAAAGAAAACATCTCATACAACTAATTAAACATAAAAAACAAACGTGTTTATCTGTTGTCTACTCGGCGACGATCTAATAAAAAAGACCTTATCCTTGGTTCTAAATTTAGTGCGGTAGATGAAAAAGGCGAAAACACCAAAATAATTGTAACTAACTTAGCACATCCTGTCGGAAGAAGTTTTACATGCAAAGGGAATCGGGGCCTTCGCATTGGCGAGCTCAAGTCATTGCCAACTATTTTATTTAATGGCTAGTTCGACTAATAAGGAAGGAGGAAAATGTTTCTTTAATTGACGATGTTTTTACCAATATAAAACAAACATTTAATGAATAATGTTACAAATTACACACTAATTTTCGCCCCTGCACACATAAATGGCAGATCGGTCTCAATTAGAATTTACAATTATGATTTATCACGCAAGTTCTTATTATGAAACATCCGAAGAAACAGGTAAGTTTTAAATTTTTGTTTTTAGTCTTTAGTGGTAAAAATAAACCAGTACAATTTAGTTTAGTTGATTTGTACTGTATTGTATATTTAAATTTTTATATAATATTCTCCAACATCTTTTGAAAAGTGATAAATATATAAACATAAACATTTTTTCATAATTGTTATAGATGACGCTGTAATGAAAAAAAATGAATTTTGTTCGATTTTTCTTCTGTAAACGATTATCCAATAATTTTTAAATAAAATACTTGGTTTTATTTATTAAATTTATTTATTTTAAATTTTAATTAAAGTAGGTGCTGAGCAAATGGTGGCCTTCGACTTCAATGCATTTATTAATTCGCATTTCGTTTTAATATTCTGCTAACACTGCTCTGGGATATTCCCAAATCTCTAGATAATTCTCTTATGCTTGCATGAGGATTAGCGGCCGTTGCTGCTAATACATTAATTTCATTATTTCCACCTGTGACTGTTGCTCGACGAACTCTTTTTTTCGGTTGAACACTCCAGTTTACAGTAAACTGCTTGACTGTACGGTGAAATGAAGTTCGTAATCGAATTTTATCCGGAAAACGCTGAGCGTAGATATACAGCATCATCAAGATTCCTGCCTGCTTCTTCATAAATCAAAATCATTTTTATTTTTTCTTCCACGGTTAAAAAACCCATTAGGAATAACTGCTTAACGCTTTTTGTTTGCAAATTAATCTTCGAACTACATTGATTAAATAATGCTAAACTATAAATAGTTTCTTTATACCTCAATAATAATTATTATTTATAACTAAATACCATTTTTTATACCTCAATTAGGATTAAATTAATTAATTGACAAAATAATGTTTTTTCATCTTAAATGAGGTATTTTTATTAAAAATGGTACAATAATCCTTTAAATTAAAGGATTTAATGCTGGCAGGTAAAAAGTGACCATGGTGCGCAATTGATAATTATCACCGAATAAAATAATGTATAAAACTTAAACCAAAGAAACTTAAATACTAGTAAAATCGAGGGTACTTAAAAAAATCAAATTTAATTTAATAAGATAATTATTACTAAAAAAGTGATATTTTTATAGAAAAATTATTGCAGAATCGTATACAGAAGAAAAATCGAACAAAATTGATTTTTTTCATTATAGCGCCATCTATTACAAATATGAAAAAATGCTTTAGGCAAAATCTACCTACTTTTAGTCGAATGATTTGAAACTGCAATAAAAAATAGGGTGTTCCATTGGAAATTTTAAAGTTACCCCCTGTTTTCCCTATAAGGAGGAGAGTATGAGGACCAATTTTAGTACTGATTGATTTCCCCCCTCGAATTATTTAATTTTTATTTTAAACATTTTTTCGAAAAATGCATACTAAATATTTTAAAGTTTCAAGTTAAATTACTCACCCTGTATAAATCTTATTTTAAAAACTAAAAATATTTAAAAAAAAACTAGTATTGGTAAATATTTGTACCATATTTGCTTTCTACTTAAAATTTATATTAATTATTGCAAAAATGGCGAATGCGCCTTACTTTTACAAAAATGTTACATAATATAATATAATTTAATATGGTATCTATAAATAATACGCAAATCATTTCAATAAACTAAATAATAAGCATACCCTTATTCCAATATTTTTTAATTTATTTACCACTAGTACAGATACCAACATACAAGAAATTTAAAAATTGTTTGCAAAATATTTCGTATATTAGTCATTGAATGTAAAGGAACACATTATGTATGTGGTTCCCATAAATATTATAATAATAATAAATGTAATTCAAGCATAATTATAATTTGTTTTTAATATTATGATTAAAAAATACCTAATTCGTTATAATTTGGCGATAAGGTATGCAAAAATGATTCATGTATTTTTATTTAAATTTGAAAAAAATTGAAAACGTATCAAAAGCAAAAATAGTTTTTGTGATTTTTTCCGATTACTAGATTTTGAGTTACCACCACCATCTTTTGTTTTTCCATGGCCGCCATATTGGAATTTTCATGTTTATATAGAAAAAAAATTATAAATCCTTAGTATAGTATACTTACTATAGTTACTACAATAATTAGTGGCTGCTTTTTCACTTATACCATGGTTAACCTTATACCTTAATTATTATGTAAAATTGTCCCCTGAATCCGAAAATACCGTCAAAAATTATGAAAGTAGAGCAGTTTTTAAGATATTGTCAATTCCATATTAAATGGAAATTTGACTATTTCTCAAAAACTTTTTTCCTTTCTAATTTTTGGATTCAGGGGACAATTTTACATGGAAATTGACTGCTAAATGTTTGGAATACAAATTACAGTTGACGTGAATTATTAGTGGCTGCTTTTTTGCTATGGCAATAGAGTCATTTTTGACTAATTCATTTTAAGAGAGTACATACATAAGTTAGGCTAACATTATAAAAACAAAAGATGTAACTTAAAAAATAGTATCGAAGAAATTGGACGAAAATGTAGATAAATGTGTTTACATGCACATATCAGAGTGCGTCAAAATACACAAAAAAAGATTTTTTAGTTTTGACATAATTTTAGTTTTTTATAATATTTTGAAAACAGCTTTTACGCAACATTTCTCTGAACCCCTTTTGCACACATACCCTGTATGTATGCAAAAATAATAAATATAAATGTAAAAATTTAATTTGAAATATTAATTTTGATAAATTTGATAAGTTTGAAAAAGAGCCATCTATATAAACTCTTCAATAAAATTAATAAACCTTGGTAGATAACTTTACTTGATTTTAAATAAATTACAGAAATCTCTCGGTGTGTATTAATATAGGCAACCAACACTACAAATTTTATACTTTATTTTATACATAAAAATCTTAAACCTAATATAGGTCGAGTAAATCAGTCAAATACAAAAAATAATTAAAAAATCTCTACTACCCTAAATCTATTTATTTAGCTCCTCCTGTATCTCCGTAAGCGTTTTTCCTCTGGTTTCAGGTACGAAAAAGTACACAAAAAAGGTAGCTGACGCCAAAATTGTAGTTAAAATATAGAAAGCTACGTGACTGCCTAGAGAAGAATTGATTATAGGGAAGAAAAAAGTCACCAAAAAGGCGGCTATCCAGTTTATAACAACCGCAATTCCACTTCCAAAGCCTTTGATTTCTGGTGAAAATAGTTCTCCTAATAACAGCCACGGGATTGGACCGTAACCAATGGAAAACATCGTTACAAATACGATAGTACTGCATATGGGTAGGAAACCGATATGGGTGACATCTATTCCTATGTTTTTGAGGTGGAAAAACATTCCTAAGGTGGCAAGGGACAACAGCATACCAGCGGATGATGACATTAGATAGAACCTTCTATTTGCTCTTTCTATGATGAAGGTGAATAAATACGACACAACTAATTGTACCGATGTTATTATGATTCCAGCTATTGAAGGGGACAATGTGCTACCGGCGGCTTTAAATATGGTCCCCAAATAAAACACCACAGCATTAATACCACACAATTGTTGATACGCCAAAATACCACACACTGCCACAATAGCTTTAATGTTTCCAGTATTCGAAATTATGTCAGCGAACGATGAAGAGTTCTCTCTGGATTCTTCAATTCCTTTCTGTATTTGGTTTAATTCGTCTTGCACATCCACATTTTCACCTCTCAAGTCTTTAAGAACATCCTCAGCTTCTTCAAGGCGGTTTTTCTCACACAAAAATGACGGCGTTTCCGGTATAAAAAAGTAGGAAACCCCAAAAATTACAGGGAACAATGATAGCGCTATGGATAGACCAACCCAGTTACTGACAGCTCCAATGGTACAGGCTGAAAGCATACCACCACAAAGGAATAGGTTGAAGAAAGCGCCTAGAATTCCCCTGGATGAGGCTTCCGCAATTTCGCCGACATACATTGGTACCACTACACAAACCCCCCCAAGCCCCATGCCGGCGAAAAATCTCCCCACTACCACCATCTCCACGTTGCAGCTGAACACAATCAGAATCCAGTGCAGTAGAAACGTAAAACTCAGGGATAAGATGGCGAATCTGCGGCCCATTTTGTCGGCTAGAATGCCCACAGGCAGGGCCGATACCAAGGCCCCTATCGTCAGCATGGAGCCCACCAGAGCGCCTTCTTGCTCCGATATTCTGAATCCGGGGGCTCCAGTTATATTCTCGTGGGTTGATGCGTTCACAAATTCCGGGATTAAAATTTGGGGCAGGGCAGGGGCGGTCCAGGCCAACACGGACCCTGCGCAAAGGGCCCCGAATGAAACTAAAATAAAAAATCATAGTTGTAACTATAGACAATTAAAAAAAAATACTTAAAACTCACCTAAGGTGGCAACTACATATTGCCTGACTTTCTTCAATTGCTTAGGCATTGTTGTCAGCATAGCGTCAGTTTCACCCACTGAAGTCATTTTGAAAAAAAAGTGTATAATAAAAACTGTTTTTCCCATATAAGTTTAAGGGTTCAGTGTTTATATACTAGTGTCATTTTCTGTTGATACTTTTGTTATTTATATAGAACAATAGATAACGATCTAGGTTTACTTAGATTTTTTTTTGATCTTGAACCTGATGCACAATTATCTTAAAAATAAGATTATAAATGATTATTGTTTTATTTCGGTTAAGTGCATTAAATAAAAAATAAAATACAATCACAGGCAAAATAATCGATCCACACAAATTTTCGATGAATTTCAATCGCAAATAACTTTTTTATTTGATGTCGGATTTAAACGAATATTAAAAAATATTGTAGATAAATTAATGGACAATCGCTCACATTTATTCTTAACACTTTTGTTTTTGGTTTACCTCGATATATTTATTTTTGTGGAAAATATGATTTTTTTAAAAAAACATTGCAATTTCCAATATTTTTCTGTATGAAGAACTAAGGTTGCTATGGTCCATCCGTAGGCTATGGAGAATGACAGTGACAGTTTTGTTCAATCATACCGTACTTGGACATGTCATACACGGCTTTCAAAAGCTATCAAATTGTTTTTTGCAAATTAAGGTTTAAATTTTGAGGTGTCTTCTTACTTTAAAAAATGGATATGTCTCCAACTGATGTTGCCAGAACCATTAATTTAATCCAAGATGGACGGTCATAGTATTACGTGGCAAGTGTTTTAAACGTCACAAGAAGTAAAGTACAAAGGGCAACATCAGTCGAAGACATTTTAAAAAGTAAGAAGACACCTCAAAATTAACACATTAATTTACAAAAAACAATTTGATAGCTTTTGAAAGCTGTATATGACATGTCCAAGTATGGGATGATTCAACAAAACTGTCACTGTCATCCTCCATAGGCTATGGATGGACCACAGCAACCTTAGTTCTTCATACAGGAAAAATATTGGAAATTGCAATGTTTTTTTTTAAATCCATATTTTCCACAAAAATAAATATATGAAGGTGAACCAAAAACAAGACTGTTAAAAATAGATGCGACTTGATAATTAAAACTTAATTTAGAACAATATACGGTTTTGCCACTCTACAGAGTGTCTGAAACTTATGATAAAAAACATATTTTTGTTTAAACCTGTATATTATAAACGTACGTGTATTTTTTAGCAAATTTTTAAAATGTGAGCGATTTTCCATTAATGTATCTACAATATTCTTTAATATTTGTTTAAATCCGAAATCAAATAAAAAAGTTATTTGCGATTGAAATTCATCGAAAATTTGTGTGGATCGATTATTTTGCCTGTGAGTGTACGAACCTATATGTGCAAAATAAAAAATTTAAATCAAAAAATATTTAAGTTTAAGTTTTTTATTGTGGCGATAGTAGGATTAAATAATAGTTATCACGCAAAATGCAATAATCTAGGTCTTAGTCCTGTATGTTGAACATATGTTTAAACAATGTATTATTTATTCAATTTAGTTAAAATTTAGTTTTTCTATATTTAAAGAATAATAAAATTCATTAAATTAAACCAATTCATTATTTTTTATTAAAAAATTAAATTAACAGCAAGTTTTGTTTTAACTCAATGATTACACAGCCACACAAAAAAAAATTTGTGTTCTGATCTGGGGGCCTGACCATATTTTCTATATATTTTTGGGGTCGCTGAATCCGAATCCGAGATCTATTTAACCCCATCACATCAGGATTTTGCCATAACCTTAAAAAACCCATCATATAAGCTATTACTATATATAACCCTGAGAATGTGGTTTTCATATAAAAATCCAAGCTCTTAAATATCACAACTTCATAACTCACATAACTCCATAACCCCATAACCCATTTAACCTCATAACTCAATGTACATCAACCACGTTTGTCAGATATTTAACTTAATATGTACGTTATTTTAATAACCGCATAACTTTAGTCTCTTCAAAGCTAAATGTCTGAGATACGGAACTGTTGGAATTGATGTTGATGGGGTTAAATGGGTTAAAAGGTTATGGGTTTAAGTGGTTTATGGGATGGGGTTAAAATGGTTATTGGGTTTAATAGCTTGGGTTTCCAGATCACAATTTCATCCTAAGGATTATATGTTTAAATAGATGATGGGGTTAAGTGGGTCATGGGGTTATGGAGTTAAGTGAGTTTAAGGCTTATAGCCTATAAGCCTATAAGTTATAGGGTTATAGGGTTTAGGAGCTTGGGTTTTTAGACAACAACTTAATGTTTAGGGTTATATGCGTTTAATAGCTTAAATTATAGATTTTTTGAGGTTATGTCAAAATCCTGATGTGATGGGATTAAATAGACCTTGGATTCGGATTCAGCGACCCCAAAAACATAAAAGAAATATGGTCAGAACCCCCAGATCAAAACACAAAAAAAAATTTGTGTTTTGATCTGGGTGCCTGACCATATTTTCTATATATTTTTGGGGTCGCTGAATCCGAATCCGAGATCTATTCAACCCCATCACATCAGGATTTTGCCATAACCTTAAAAAACCCATCATATAAGCTATTACTATATATAACCCTGAGAATGTGGTTTTCATATAAAAATCCAAGCTCTTAAATATCACAACTTCATAACTCACATAACTCCTTAACCCCATAACCCATTTAACCTCATAACTCAATGTACATCAACCACGTTTCTCAGATATTTAACTTAATATGTACGTTATTTTAATAACCGCATAACTTTAGTCTCTTCAAAGCTGTCTGAGATGCGGAACTGTTGGAATTGATGTTGATGGGGTTAAATGGGTTAAAAGGTTATGGGTTTAAGTGGTTTATGGGATGGGGTTAAAATGGTTATTGGGTTTAATAGCTTGGGTTTCCAGATCACAATTTCATCCTAAGGATTATATGTTTAAATAGATGATGGGGTTAAGTGGGTCATGGGGTTATGGAGTTAAGTGAGTTTTAGGCTTATAGGGTTTAGGAGCTTGGGTTTTTAGACAACAACTTAATGTTTAGGGTTATATGCGTGTAATAGCTTAAATTATAGATTTTTTGAGGTTATGTCAAAATCCTGATGTGATGGGGTTAAAAGACCTTGGATTCGGATTCAGCGACCCCAAAAACATAAAAGAAATATGGTCAGACCCCCAGATCAAAACAAAAAAAAAATTGTGTGGCTGTGTTATTTACCCTTCAATTGGTGTTTTTGTTTGGCCAATTAACTTATTTTCAAAAAACATAAATCCTCAAATTTTGACAACGGACAAAATTTGACAAAAAATCGAAAACATCGAAAATTTGTATTGAAATTTTGTGCTAAATACGCTCAAAATTAAATAACAAAAACAAAATTAAGAAAGTTATACTTAAATTTATAAAAATAAAAATAAATAATTAATACGGTCAAATTTAATCATGATTATTTTAGATAAGAAATATAAAGTTAAGGTATAACAATTGTATTTATGTATTAGGTAGATAAGATAAGGTCAATATAGTCAATAATAATATTGCTTAATACATACAAATTTTTGTTACCTTTTGTTTTAAGTTAAACATCACAGAACACCAACTGATTTATTTACATCAATTTTTAAGTATAGAGGAAATTCCAAAAAAAAACTAATTTTAAATGTTTCATAACATGGTGTTTATTAAAAATATCAATATTGGGATAATATTTACAAAAATGACTAGTTTAATTAATACTTTTTCTCTTTGGTAGAATTTAATATTTTTTTGTATATTCGATCGTGATTATCGTTGTATGATTTTTCGAAAAAATTGTTTACACAAAGTACAGGGTATTCCAAAATTTTTAAACTAAAATATGTTTTTAATGATTTATATGAACTTTAGAAGATTTTAGGTTTTCGAAAAACTTTTACAAAAAAAAATATGTTAGTTAAGTTTAGAGCACCCTGTACAATAAAAAATGCAGTCAGTTACATAATTTTACCTGATAAAATGAAAGCACTTAACACTTTGAGATTCGAATCGACTTTGAAAACAAAATATTTTTGACGTTTGTTTTATCTGAATTAAAAACAAAGTATTACCTAGAATGTACAAATACAATTACTATGAAAGATTAGCAAAATAAATAGGATTTGTTTATTATAAGGGTATTTCTCCACTATGTTTTCCCATAAAAACACATCTCTGAAAAGTATAATGTAATTTTTAGATCAAAGAAATTCTTTTTTGCCGAAAATAGGTATATTGATTTAAAATAAAATAGAAGTAAGATACTAAGTGTCCTGATACCTTTATTGAACCAATCAAAACTCTTATTTACCTTGTTAACGTGTATCTTAGATCCTTCTCTCCCGATAAGACCACGTTGCATTGACTAATGATTGTCGCTAATTTGCTCGATTTATTCATAATTAAAATCTAATTTATAGAAATTTTAGGAAAATCTATTTTTCGTGAATTATCGATAAGACTTTCGATAAGACGCCTCCTCTATCAGTATACAGGGTGTCCCATAATTAGCGTGCAATACTTTAACAGCAGATTCTCCATACAAAAATAGGAAAAAAAGTTCCTATAAACATAGGTCGAGAAATGTTTTCTAAGGGAGCTACAGCCCCCAAAAAAGAAGACCCCGAGGATGGTTTTTATTTAATATCTCCAAAACCGTTAAAAATGGAAACATTAAATTTTGAGAATTGATCAAACTGTTACATTGCATAAAATGTCATCAGTCTTGAATAAGTTTCCCAAACATGAAAGCCGTTTTCCATGGTCCAAGCTGAATCTTTTTCTCTAGTTGTGATTTCATTACGAATTTTTATGTTATGTACATAAGTTAATATTCATTTTAAGCGAAAATAGTAAATATTATCATAATCATCATACTAATCGTCGCTCGTTTTATAAATTTTCATCATTATTGCCTTTCAAAATGTATTAACCAAATATTGTTCAGGAGACTGGGCCAAAAAAATCGACTATTTTTTTTTTGAAAGTATATCGAAAATATTGTTTGGGGTGACAACAAAAATTGACTTATGAATATTTTAGGAAGAAAATTAAATGCTCTACAAAAAAGATTTAATTGCAATTTTCCGTCAGATGAACCCTTTTCTTACAATCATGCCTTAAGAATTGGTATAGTTTTACAATTTGATCGTTTAACTTTGGAATTTTGTAATTCAAGTAAAAATCAGTACCCTGAAAAAAAAACGATAAATATTCTTATGGGAAATCAAATGCTCTACAAAAAAAGTCTTTTATCATTTTTGGCTAAATTCACCCCATCAAAAGTTATTCAAGGTTAAATTTGAAGTCAAAACGAAATTTTAACCTTGAATAACTTTTGATTGAGTGAATTTAGCCAAAAATATTAAGAGGCTTTTTTGTAAAACATTTGATTTCCCATAAGAATATATATCGGTTTTTTATGGGTACTGATTTTTACATGAATTACAAAATTCCAATTTAAAAGATCAAAATGTAAAACATGTTATTGCAATACCAATTTTTAAGGCATGATTTTAAGGAAACGTAAAATTTCACTTTTACCTTTTTTGTAAAGCATTTAATTTTCTTAAAAAAATATTTTTAAGTCAATTTTGTTAAACTAAATGGTTCTGAGCCTAAAACATGCTGAGAAAAAAAAATAAAATTACGATAGACCTCTTAACACGTTCATGGACAGAACTGCAAATGCCGTCGGGTCCAATATGACACGACGGCTATAGCAGTCGCAATTTTCTAGCTGATTTATGACAAGCCTGCATATGCAGGTGCATTAATAATGCGATCCATAGGAAGCTCTGACATATGTGTCCCATGAGACCTCATGTATTTTTTGGTTGCAGAATGTAGTTGGTTGCAAATTAATTTTTATATGAGTATCTGTTAAGCGCGATTTTAAACCTAAAATTCGGCCGTTTTTGTGACCGATTGTTGGTAAAAATGATTGTTGTAAAGTGGAGTCAAATTTTGATGTAACAAAGCTAGTAAGTTTTTTGAACAATTATATTATTTTTTATCACATATATAACTTCTATAACTATATTTTTATCGTTAAAATGTTTTTTCTCGTCCTAAAAACGCAATTTCTTTTTATAAAATAAATTTTATATTATTTATAGGTATTTTATAACTTATAAATTATAAATATTTAAATTTGAATCTAGACTTTTTGTCATTATTAAAGTATAATTTGTTCACCAGTGACTTTATACTACCATAATGGATAAGTAGAAATGAAAAAAACATGGACGGTTATGACCGTCATGACCCACCACACCTTTTTTTTTTGAAAAAAATCTCATAGTGGGGCATGACGGCTATGGCCGTCAAACTTTTTAAAGGCCATATACAGCCCTAAAGGCATCATCAAGTTACCGGTAAAATTTTTTGATGATAGGATAAAAGGTGTATGAATTATTCAAGTGACGCAGCAGGTCCCGCCAAAAATTTGTCTGTGTCCATCATATTATGGACTCAAACTTTCACAATAATTTTTTTTATCACCCCAAACCATATTTTCGATATACTTTTCAAAATAAAATAGTTGTTTTTTTTGGCCCAGTCTATTAACAATTGTTCAGGTATAGATCCAACATTTTGTACCATAAAATATTGTTAAAAACCTACTTAAATATAAGTTTAAACACATAAAACAATTGTAAAAAGTAAATATCACGTGAAACTTTAAAAAAACAGTTGTTTTTATAAATACATTTTACCAATTAATCCGGTTTTTTTTCGACACTTTAAAACCCTAACCAGGACTGCCCTGCCAGGACACTCTGTATCTTGCTGCTAGTTTTGTTTTGTTTTCAGAGAATTCAATAAAATTTTAATTAGTGGAAAAACTATATCGCATTTAAACAGCTTAAAATGAATTGTTCTAAGTATATACAGTACGCAGAAACGTATGTCATGGAGGCATACCATTGCCGGTCCCATGTACCCTCATGTGCCTGTTCAAATTGCCGCTCTGACTGAACCTCAGCAAACACAGTTTGCATTCGTAGGGCTTCTCCCCGCTGTGTATCCTCAGATGTTTGGTCAGGGTGCTGGAGTCCGAGAAGGCTTTCTTGCACAGCCTGCATCGGTAGGGCCGTTCCCCGGAGTGGGTCCGCATGTGGGTCGTGACGGATGAGCTCTGCGAGAACCGCCGGTCGCACACCGGACATCTGAACGGTTTTTCCCCGGAGTGGGTCCGGACGTGCGCCGTCAGGTTGGCGGCCTGCGAGAAGGATTTGTTGCAGTCGATGCATCTGTACGGCTTCTCGCCGCTGTGGGTGCGTAGGTGGGTTTTCAGAGTGCTGGGGCGTGCGTAACTTTTACCTGAAACAAAGAACACAAGTATTCATAACGGATCTTTTGTTGTGATAGGTTTACTATTTAACGCCAGTAGTAGGCAACCAAGGTTACAAGACTGAAATGCCTTACATATCGACACACCAACTGCCTGACACTGATGAAATCCAACAGGTCGAAACAGGCACCCTTTATTCTAAGAATGTTTTTTAAACCTTTCAGTGAAAATATTCTTAGGATCATGCTATATTTCTTCCAAAGAACATGCTTAAAAGACATATAGCATGATCCTAAGAATATTCTTACTGGCCTATAGGCAGGTTCTTAGAAGGTACAAAGTTTTAGTGGTAAAAAACATATGCCTAGAATGTTAAGAGAGTAATTGCTATAGAAAGTTCATTTAGGAATATTCCTGTTAAGCATATTTAGTTCAGTTACCTATATAGTAAAATATACCATAAACTACTTATAAAGGTATATTCCTATACTTAAGTACCTAATTAGTAATTAGTATTAAATACTAAGTAAAAAACACAATCCAAAATATTTTTTTATAGTTATTTGTCAAATTAAAACAATATTCGATAACAAAAATACTTTTATTTTAGGTATTTTATTTTATGTTAAAATAAATATTTATTAATTTGTATACCGATTTTTTATTTCTGAATTAACATTTCTATGTATAATAATCCTAACTATCTTCAACTTCAATCTAATCTGACTTATCCCACAAAATTTTCCAATTTTACTTTTTATGAAATAATGTCATACAACTTATGGTTTAGAGGTCAAATTGTTTATTTAAAATTTTTAAATAAATGTATATTAATATGTCGCAAAATTTTTTAAGGGGACGACAAATACATTTCACTGTCATATTATGACAGTGAGGCGTATTTGTCGTCTCCTGAAGAATTTTACGAATGTAGAATGCAACATATTAGAACGTGGGTATCTGACATATTTGGAAATATTCTCAAAAGCTTCCCAGAAGCTCCATAAGAAACCTTCTAAGAACATTCCAAAAATGTATTCTTAAAATGTTCTTAATTATTTGCAAAAATGGCGAATGCGCCGGGGTTAATTTTTTAACAGATTTTTAACAAGAGATTAAAACAACATATATAATAATGAAATTTAATTTTATTAAAAAAGCAATATAATTATCATTTTTATATAATTATATCAATTGGACTATATTAATTAACTGTCAATCAAACAATTAAGATAACAATATATTATTTTATGTATTATAATATATAATTTTTAATTTTAAATCTAATAATACTATTATTAGATTTAAAATTAAAAATTGCTAGAAATAAAAATTATCTCAAATTTTTTAAATCAATATTACACAAAGCAAATGTCAAAAGCTGTCAAATGTCAAAACATTTATAATATTATGTTGCCATGAAATGGTAGATATATTTTTTCGTTTTTAAATTGCAGATGTCAGCGATTTTTTAGGGAAAATATAAAATGATTGATTTTAAGGTTATGTTTCTACAATTAATCTTTTTTGTTAGATTTCTTAAAAATGAACTTAAATATAAATTATATAAGGTAAAGTAATCATTAGTTAATTCTGCACCAACAAATATAAGTACCGAATTGGATCCTTTGGCAAAACATGAAAATGCAACGATTTAGTTCTTGAATTTTATTTACAACTAAAAACACAATAATTCACCACGATCCCTTAGATAAAATACACACACTAACGTAACTATATAAGCATTTAAGCGTTGAGTTTCTTAATCAATGATATAAAGAATATTCAATCGAAATCGAGTAATAAACCAGTTTTTTTATTTTTTTCCTTGCAACGTAATACACAAATAACGTGCGCGATTCAGCTGTGCAATTGAAACTTTGTGAACAAAACTTGTCGAGCAAGACTTCTACCTTTCTCTCTTTTGTGAAAAAACTACTTATTTATTTAAAAATGACCACTTACCACATATCCGACAAACGTTAGGCTTTTGACAATCATCCTCCATCAAGGCTATGCTGTGTCTTCGCCTAGGCGACGAAAACGACATTTGTACTGGTTTGTAGTTCGAAGACGAAATCACAGGGGCCTCCTGAGGCGGCCTAAAGTCAGCAGTAAACGAGTAGGTAGTGCCTCCGTAGGAGGGACTTAAAAGACCCTGACTTTGGTAGGCAGACGGGTTTGGAACCTGAGGTGAGGCGCTCCACTGGACCTAAGTCAAAAGAAATTCAATTGGTTAGAACATATTTTTTGCAATTTAGATTTCTCTTACCTGTGGACAGGCTATATCCCCACTGGGATACCCACTGTTAGGATGATACCCATGCATGGTCATGTTCATGGACACATTAACACTCATACTAGGAAACATGGGTGTCTGTTGGGCGAACGCCTGATCGCATATGCCTCCGTAGGCACTTCCAGGCGACAGAAGCATCTGGGAGTGGTGCAAATTTTGCTGGGACTCGTATTTATCCGATGGGCTTTGACCAGGGTGAACCACGGCATGCTTTAAGGATAAAAGCACGTCTGCTACGTCTCCCGTGGGTTTGTTCTCTCGAAATATCAGTTGGGATGGCTGGTTTTGGTACGTTCCTTGAGATTCTGTTCTAAAAAGATTTGGTTGTTATTTGAAGTTCGTGGTTTAGATCAAACATTAAACAGAATTGGTACAAGCGTAATTCTCCCATGATTTTAACTTGAATGTCCCGAGGCTGTACAATAATTATTTTTTATCCATTGCTGGAATACCATGGTATCACAAAATTTAACAGCCAATTCCAATGAACCTTATCTACACTGTTTAAAATATCTGTGGTGTGAAGAGTAATCTTAAAATGGTGTCAAAACCAACACCAAATGTTTTATACAGCAAACACCAAAACGGTGTTTATCTAAAAATATTTGAGAAGTGCACCTACACTCTTAGAAAAGACCTGGTATTTGTAACTAACTTATTATCGTTGGGGTAAAACTGTTGCAGAAAATAAAATTTTTTGTTTTTTGTAATCAGTACCTTTATATGTGTAACTGCTTGCATCATTACCTGAAAAGATTTAGTTTTGTTGTTGAGTATTATTTACTGCAAAAAGGCGATTAAGTTATTTTAACTGAAACTTTGTGTTGGCTAGAAGTATTGACAACATTATCTCAAAAAAATCATTTCGGCGGTAAAATGTTTTTGTTGGACCAAATATTTAAGTAACATTCTCAACTGACTGAAATTAGTCCGTGGAACTAACGGTTCGGTTGTATAAACTATGCGTCACTTTTCACACAGCTAAGACACCAGCGGTGTGAAACAAAGTGTCAGTTGGGGATGTTGTCTCTGTAGGTTAATGCAACTGCAAACTTTGTGCATTTTTTTTTCGCGCGCGTTTTGTCCAGCCCGGCGCGTGCTTTACTTTTAACCTGTAAACAAACGGTGTTGCACGGCGTCCAGACTTCGGTGGTGTTTGTTCTTTTGTATTTGTGTATCAGCTCGTGTGTAGTGTATATTTTAGGTAAGAAACTAATAATAATAATAAATTTTCTTTATTGAAAAAAATACATTTTTCAAAGGGCCATTGACTTTCGTCCTTCAGCCGGCTACATACTTTTTAACTATTCATATATATATAAGAATATATTCTTATGTGTTGGTTACTTATAGATATCTCGAACAAATAATATGGATGAGCGGACTGAAGTAGCAGATTTATTAGGAATATGGGGTTTACCTGAATTGGTTCCAGTTTTTAAAGGTTAGGTATTATTATTGCACTCCTTTAATTACACTATTGTATACAAAAAACTATAGTTTTGGGGTCCGAAAAAAAATCCAAAAATGTGAAAATGCCATTCCGACTGAAAATGGCCTCCTGAATCCAATGGTGCCCACCAAAAGTCTCCATCACGTCGGAATTTCGAGAATTTTTTTGTTTTGTTTTGTTTTGTTACAGCTCAAGTCGCATTTTTGGTATAGGGCCTATACTATAGGCACTCACACTCAAAATTTATCGAATGCTTACCCCTGTTATCATGCAAGTATGTTACGTTGTACCTAAGAATCATTGTTAAGTTGTTAAACAAAGGCTTGCACTTCACGTAAACATCACGGTTTACTGAAGAAGTATAGTCAACTTATATTTGGTGTTTTCAGTTATATTGTTATTTTCAGTTATATTGTTATTTTTTAATTTATAATAAATATTTATAAAACGAACGGGCATGAATTTCCTTTCTCTATTTTTTATAATATTTACACAAAAAGTGTTATATTTACTAAGCAGGTATGTACTGTGGAATAATACAAATTTGTTGTTGCTACTAATGCAAGCATTTAATATTAAATATAACTTAGTTACAGTAAAAAACAAATTTATATTATATCAACCATTAAATTCTTTAAATGTACCTTTTTTCATGTAATTTCAATTAAAAAATAAATTCCTGCATGATACAATGTTTGTTGCGATAAATAGCAAGTGCAGTTGTTACAACTTAGACGCTGCTAAAATAACAGACTAATGTGATTGCATTAAATATCAATTATTTGTATGAAAAAAAAACTAATTTCGATGCACTTAAACTTGTTGGTTGGAGCTACCAATATTGGCTGTTCCGACAACAAACTGTAAAAAACAAATTTGTATTAGTTCCCACAACATATTTTTTTGTTGTGCCTATTTTCACTAATAAAATTGGTTCTGGGAACTAAATTTTCATTGCAAATACCAGGTCTTTTTTAAGAGTGTACACAGAAAAAAAGGAATAGTTCATTTAAACTATATTAATTTAGTTGACCCATAAGTATTTATTTAAATCAACTGTGGGAAGGTTAATATAAACAAAGATTAGTTTGACGGTACTAAACCAGATAGTTATTTTAGTTTTTTTAAATTGGTTAAATTAACCCAGAAAACTTTAGTGAAACCAACCCGCTGTATGGTTCAGTTTACTAATCGTTGTTTGTAAAATAAGAGTTACTTCAACCTAAAGCACTCTGTTAAAACTATTAAACAATTTGCCGTGCATTCCCCGTTGCATAGTGTGTACCGATCGCGGCAAAGGCGGTGTGGATCACGTGATGTTCTTAAATCTCGCCTCTGTTGACTTACATGAAGAGTATATAAGCTCAGGTAGTCCTTTGCTTTGGTGTGACACTACAAGTTGTTCGATACTATATAGGTGGAGACAGCTGTCAATACTTGAAGTATTTTAAGTTAGTGGAACGCACTAAAAACATTATCTCTAGCGAGTTGAAGGTTCAATTTTCTGGAATAATACCACTGGTAATATACTAGTAATGCGTCAAGGAACTTCCTGTTTCCTTTTTTTCTGTGTAGTATGATTTAATTTGACCAAAAACACATAATATTTAACACTGAAGAGGAGTTCAATTTACACCAGGTAAAATTTATTTTATTACTGTGTGAAAGTTAAATTTACACCATTTTAGTATTTGAATTTACACTGGACCAACGAACCATATTTAACACCATTTTGGTTTGTATCGATATAGACCATGTATGGTGTTAAAATGGTCATGAAATTTTGAACAGTGTAGGGTAAAGTGGGGGAATGACGACCAGCGGGTAATAACGATCATCAAAAGTTTCATAGTAAGGTAATATTTATGTACAATATTTTAGTAGCGTCACCTAGCCTTTAGTAGCCTAACCTAACCAAACAGTCCGTAACCAGAAATTCTACATTGGCTTCAGTCAATTCGTGTTTATTTAAAGCATGGTAACTTCTAATATTTTCAAGTATATAATTAATTGTTTTAATTGTGTTAATTTTAGTTTGTTATGAATTTAATAAATTTTTTTATAGCAACATAAGTCAAATGTCTTATAGCATCACAAGTCAAATATACCTGGTTGCGATTACCCAGCGCTTGGTCGTAATTACCATGCACTTGGTCGTAATTACCTCGTTACGTGGGAAATGACGACCAAAAGCACTTTGTTAAGAATTTTTTTTTTTTTTAAACTATTCGAGTTGTATTTCTGAATTGATGCATGAATAATCTTTAGACTTTAGTCTTTCTATTCCGATTTTAAAAAAGTAAAAATATTGGTTCAAAATTATCTTATGGTTAATTTTTCTTAGGTGGTCGCCATTCCCCCTCTCTACCCTAACAACTACTCCTTACTTGTATCCATTGCTCCCGCAAGGGGATATGTTGAACAAGCTGGGCAACGGTTCCAGATCCAGTGGCAGGGAAAAGGAGCCCATGTCGTCGCTCCAGCAGGACGACAGGTCGTCCTGGGCACAAGATCCGTTCACGGTCGCTATTTGCGACTGGTGCTGCTGCTGCTGTTGCTGTAGCTGTTGCTGCTGCTGCTGCGTGGACCAGTTGCACTCGAGCTGCAGCCCGAACTGGGGGTTGTTGGGCACGTAGCTGGCGGCGTCCATGGCGGCGGTGGATGCTGGGGGCGGTTATTTGGAGATCCGGTGGGGGTGGGCACACTTGCGCACCTTTAATTTCAGGTAGACATAGTCAGAAATTTGTGGAAAGAAATAAAGTGAAACATCGATTTTTCTTTTTTTAAGAGCGACATTTTTTCTTGACAATGCGATTACTTGGCCAAAAATGTTTCGACCGTTAGACAAAATAATCGATCCACACAAATTTTCGATGAATTTCAATCGCAAATAACTTTTTTATTTGATGTCGGATTTAAACGAATATTAAAGAATATTGTAGATAAATTAATGGACAATCGATCACATATTAAAAAATTACAAAAAAAATAGACGTACGTTTATAATATACAGGTTTAAACAAAAATATGTTTTTTACCATAAGTTTAAGACACTCTGTGAGTGGCAAAACCGTATATTGTTCTAAATTAAGTTTTATTTATTAAGTCACATCTATTCTTAACAGTTTTCTTACTTTAAAAAATGGATATGTCTTCGACTGATGTTGCCAGAGCCATTAATTTAATCCAGGATGGACGGTCACAGTATTACGTGGCAAGTGTCTTAAACGTCCCAAGAAGTAAAGTACAAAGGGCAACATCAGTCGGAGACATTTTTAAAAGTAAGAAGACACCTCAAAATTAACTTATTAATTTACAAAAAACCAATTTGATAGCTTTTGAAAGCCGTGTAAGACATGTCCAAGTATGGGATGATTCAACAAAACTGTCACTGTCATTCTCCATAGGCTATGAATGGACCATAGCAACCTTAGTTCTTCATACAGGAAAATATTGGAAATTGCAATGTTTTTTTAAAAAATCCATATTTTCCACAAAAATAAATATATCGAGGTGAACCAAAAACAAAACTGTTAAGAATAGATGTGACTTGATAAATAAAACTTAATTTAAAACAATATACGGTTTTGCCACTCTACAGAGTGTCTTAAACTTATGCTAAAAACATCTTTTTGTTTAAACTTGTATATTATAAACGTACGTCTATTTTTTAGTAATTTTTTAAAATGTGAGCGATTGTCCATTAATTTATCTACAATATTCTTTAATATTCGTTTAAACCCGACATCAAATAAAAAAGTTATTTGCGATTGAAATTCATCGAAAATTTGTGTGGATCGATTATTTTGCCTGTGAGTGTAATATGAACAACTTTCACCAAAAGTCCCGAGTTGGATAAATTCGTCGTTTCGGAACTATTATTTTTTTAATGATTATTCCATTTTTTAGTAAATTCATCACAAAAATTTGGTTTTTTTTCTAGGGTCTTGAAACTGAGGTGATCTTTATAAAGTGTAATTTGGAACTTTTTGACATATTTAACATATTTTTATCTATTTTGCGTTTATAATGACTTCATTATAACACCGCTTTTGGTGCTGTAATGAGATTGACATTAACTGTCAAACCAATGACTGTGATACCAACTATCTAAAGTAAAATTCTCAAATTAAATTTTAGGTATACATTTTTTTTATAGAATTTTTGCAAAATAGATAAAATAGCATAAATAACTTATGTCATAAGACGTCTTATGACATTAGTTCTTTAATATACTCTTTCTTCTTCTTTTAATACACTTTTGTATAGCATTTTTTTGAAAGATTCTTTAATGAAATAAAGAAAAGTTTCTAAAATAAATTATTAAATCTGATAAGAGATTACAGAAGCAAAAAAATCTCGACTCATAAAAGAACATAATAAGTACTTAATAAGCCTAAATAAAAAAATTTCCACTTAAAACTTAGCTACCAAGTATTTATTTATTAATAATATTTCTTATCAAATTAATTAAACTTATTTATATAACTTATGCACATACATATGTTTTAAAAATAGCAGCTTTTCATTGTTAAATAAGGCTATGCCTTGGGAATTTATACCCACGAAATGGAATGAAATTTAAAGCATTGAGATTTCATACTGAAATTTCATTTAATCATTTTGATCATACCTAATTGATTATTATGGTTAATTTTTATGGAAATTTCATGAGCGATACTAAATAAAAAAATGGCGTATAAAAACAAATTTTCAAGAAATTTTATGAAAACTCTTTAAGAGAGAAGGATATTGAGAAAATGGAGCAAAAATTCGTTAAAAAACAATGCTTTTCCACTTTTGGGTAAAAATTTCTCAAAAACTGAGATAAAGGTCAAATTGGGATTTAGCACGCCTCAAATCTAAAACATTTGATATGTATACAAATAGCCAATAAATCTAAGCTATTTCTTGTGCATACAGCCATTATAGGAAGTAAATTTCATACAAATATTGTTACCAACGACTTGAATTGTTTTACGAGGACAAATACATATTTTAATTATAATTTTATCTTGTTTTTAAGTATTACTTGTTTACAGCTATTATTAACGTAAATTCCAAAGATTTAAAAAAATCTGGAGTTTCGTAGAAAAAAATACGTCCACTATTTCATATAATAGATAATTATAATACCCATAATTAACTACTTTTTTTAATGAAAATATTTTTTAAGATCGTTATGGAAAAGATTTATAATAAAAGGTACCTACTCTCTAAAAATGAATTGGTGAAAAATGACTTATTAGTGACTGTTTTTTAACTTGTACCATGATTAACCATGGGATACCATGGTATCCCAAAATTTAACAGCCAATTCTTATGTAAAATTGTCCCATGAATCCGAAAAGACCGTCAAAAATTATGAAAGTAGAGCAGTTTTTGAGATATAGTCAATTCCATATTAAATGGAAAATTTACTATATCTCAAAAACTGTTCTACTTTTTTAACTTTTGACGACATTTTGCTAAATGTTCTGGATACAAATTGCTGTTGACGAGAATTATTGGTGGATGCTTTTTTGCTATGACAATTAGTCATTTTTGACTAATTCATTTTTAGAGAGTATCATATGGATGAATCTTGAATGAGTTTGACCTACACTTTTATTGTGTTTTGATCTTTGATATTACAGGTTCCAGATTTTTAACCGCAATTAATTATTTTTTACAATGTTTTAAAAGTCTAAAACCTATCCTCCGTAACTGTTACTCTTTCTAGGTTAAGAAATAATTTTTATAACCATTTATGTAGGTGTTACAAAAATTGATTCTATCCTCCGTGAATCTGTTTTTGCTTTAAATTTTATGCAACGGATGGCGCTTTAATCATTTTAAATAAGCAAAAACCTCTGTTTACGACATTATAGATGCATGGGATTCCTGGAGGTCAGTTAGAATTTATATGCAGATGAGAGTGTTGCTGTTTTATAATTCAAAAGTTTAAGTAATTTGCTATTTAAAAATCTATCCACCGTGAAGTGTAATATCTCAGTCAGTTGTTTTGACAATCGATTACAACAATTTTTGACGTTGTAAATGTCTAAATAAAAAAAATAAAAATTAAAAAAATATATCTTTATAGTTTCACATATTTGGCTGACTCGACGACAGAGTCGGCTGGAAGTTGCGGTAACCATGACAACCAATTATGAAAGACCGCGATTGAAGTAGATATGGCTTCGCGGTTTAGCCCGCGCTCGCCTGCTATGTACTATCGGTAAGCCTACCGATTCGGTATACAACCGAGACCGGAACGGAACCGTGGATCGCAATATCGTTGGAAATATTTTTCAGAAAACACGATTTCGGTGCTTCCTATTATCGGGTTTCCAACGCTTCCTTTTTATTTATAACTTCCAAGCAAGCTTTATTGTACCTATGCTTTTAAAAAACTTACTTAAAAAAAGTAACTGAATTGAGTTCTTATAAAAATTAAATACAATTGACAGGCTATTAGGCTCTATTTACAAAATAATTAAACCATTTAAAGATGAAAAAGTATACTCGTAAACTAGGCTCAGTAGTTTTTTGTTTGGTTTTTGTTGGAAAATGTTGAATGCAAAATAATTTAATAAAACCACGAGACCGCGTAGCGGTCGAGGGGTTTTATTTTTAATTATTTTGCATGAACTATTTTCCAAAAAGAAAAATCAAATAAAAAACTTACTGAGCATAGTTTGAGAGATTAAATTTATAGGTTGAGTGATATACGTCTAGATTATTTCTCGAATTAAAGGAAACTATTTCACAATTCATAAAATCTGACATATGTGTCAAAATTTATAAATATTTTTTTAAAGAAAATTCCATTAATTTAAGGTATGTAATAAGTAATAATTGATATTTCGTAAACAAGAAAACTTATTTTTTTATTGTTTTTTTAAAAATGTTTGTTAAAACTTTTAAATAACACCATAAAATCGTAAACAAAAATCCAATATGGAGGCTAAAATTTAATCGCTGTTAAATAGTTCTAGTGATTTAATCGCTTATTTAAACGAAATTTATTCGAAAATTCAAGGCTTTTGATTGGTTCATATTATAATGAGGGAAATAATCATTTCACAACAAATTAACAATTATGATTCTTGACCCAAATAAGTATTATTTTTTAGTAGACAAAATCCAATTATATAAATGCCCAAATAATACCTGATGTTTTATTGAAAAAAAAACATTGGAGAAAAACTATAGTTATTTATGTATCAAGGCAGTAAAGTCGTATTTTTTATCACGAATTTGGAAATAACCACATGAGTGATAAAAAATGACTTTAATGCCGAGGTGCATATTAAATTTTATCCGAAATCACATTTAATAATACTAATAATTATATTGATGATTTTATTTAGTTGCTGCTGAGGAGCAGTAGACACATCCTAAAATGTATAATGGGTTGCATACAATACTCGTGTAAATCGTTTTTTTTACTTTACTGCCGATTGTTGACTACTTTACTGCCGATTTCGGATAAAAGTATTGCCCCAAATCTTCAAATTTTTTTTATTATTTTATATAAATTCCTGTATTCCTTTTAAAAGGACAAACCGAATATTATCCATATAACATAACCACAATTATATTGTTCACTAAACAAGTTTGTTTTACTTAATGTAACGAATTATAAATTTGGGGTCCCTAGTATTTTCCAACTTAACCCCCAAATTTTTGACGTCAAATTCTGAATAAGAAAACAAACTTTATATAAGTCAAAAATTTCAGTTTTTAGGGCAGTCTTTTACCTATAGTAAAATCAAGTTTTATGATATTTTTTTTAACAATATGTTTAATATAGTGGATTAAATATCCGCTTTTCCAAAAATATTTCCTAAAATATTAATTAATTAATCTTTGAAGTGAAAAAAAATTATGCAAAAGGAAAGGAAAGCCACCTAATTAAAAATTGTAGAAATTTTGTTAGTAAAAATAATGTTCTACAAAATATCCTTGAATGTTTGCAAAAATATTGTACTATCAGAGATAATTGCGATAATTAACTTTTTTGTTAAATAATTTTACATAGTTTACAATAAAATTTATAAAAAAAAATAAATCCTACTAGGTACATATAGTATGATAAGAATTATTACAAAATTTCAAACAAAATTGTATGAAATATTTGTATTTTGAACCATATTTAAAAAAAATTCTATAAGCGTGCGAAAGTTGCTTCTTTCTGCACGCATAACCGCGCTGACTTTTCCGCGCGCTCGAAAGTGCCGAAAGTAAATAAGTAGGAAAGTAACAACTGCACGCTTGTTGAAAATATGTACTTATTTACCTACTTTACTAGTGCGGAAAGTGCAACTTTTCCGCACGCGACTGCTGTTATTTTTTACAAGCAAGTTTTCTTCATTTGTTGAAAAATTATTTTTCACAAACAGTGCGGAAAGTAAGCGTGCGGAAAAGTCCAACTTTCCTCAATGTTATGAGTGCGGAAAGTTGATACTTTCCGCAAGCTTGTATAAAAAATATTTTTTCTACAAATGGAAACAGCAGTCTCGTTCGGAAAAATAGCACTTTCGGCACTAGTTAGGCAAATTAATATTACAGACATTTTATTAACTTTCTTAAAATTAGTTTTATCTATTTTGCGTTCATAATGACTTCATTATAACACCGCTTTCGGTGCTGTAATGAAGTACTTTATCCCACCCAAAATTTTGATTTTATAGGTTGGCTATACTTAAAACAGCATAATATTTTGCATATTGGTTATAATATTTTTATGATTTTTCTAGTACTTACGAAACATTTATCTTCTTTAACACTAACAGTCGCTTATTGTAAATAAGAAAATTAAGGACGGCATGGCGAATCGATTTTGACATTAACTGTCAAACCAATGACTGTGATACCAACTATCTAAAGTAAAATTCAAATTAAGGTATAAAATTCATTTTTGTATAGAATTTTTGCAAAATAGATAAAATAGCATAAAGAACTCATGTCATAAGACCTTTTGTCGCACTCGTCCATTACAAATTGTCCCCGTGCGACAAAATGACGTCTTTAATATACTATTTTATGTGTTTATAATTTTCTGTAATTTGAAAATTTTAAATTAACCGGTAAACAAAATTTAATAAAAAAAACTTTGATATAAAAGTGTTTATACAAGGGCCTTAATAGGTTTAACAAAATAATAAAAAAGTAACTGAAGCGAGAAGATTGTTGTTGTAATAGGTTTAAAAATGTTTAACTTTTTAATTTAAAATTTAATTTTTTCTTATTATTGTCGATATAACAATGGATAATTAAACAAAAATTAAAAAATATATCTAAATACATCAAGAAAAATAAATATTAGATATGTATATTTTAGATAAATATATATATAAAATATCTAACAAAACTAAATTTCCCACTACTGTTTCGTAAATATTGTTGTTTACATTTTTATCAATTTTAGGAATTTTTTTGACGTAGGTAGGTTCGACTTAAGTTGTCCCACTTTTAAACAATTCAATAACATATACTGTTTCATAGGTAAGCATACCTATAATATGCTAATAATATGGTAAGCATATAATATTATGATATATGTACACTGAAAGAAATTTATGTTTCATATATGGACTACCACATACATTGCTAAAACAAACATATAATATATTTACCTTAACCATTTTTATATTTAGTTTTAACATATTATGTTAAAACTAAATATAATATATGTTTGTTTTAGCAATGTATGTGGTAGTCCATATATGAACCACAAACATTGCTAAAACAAACATATATTTCTTTCAGTGTAGATATATAATATATTATATATAGGTACATAGTATATTAATAATATATATCTAATAATAATATAATATTATTTATGTAGTAGTATGTTCGTAGAGAAATTTGCATACATTAGGGTGTAGTAGTTTTTTTACTTGCGTATATTCTAAATTATTTGTTTCGAGAAAAATATTCTTTTTTTTAAATTGTTTTCAGACTCTAAACAAATAATTTAGATAATACCCAAGTAAAAAAACAACTTGGGAAATTATCAAATTTATTCCATTTGGCCAATACACACTGTATATGAGGATACAAGTGACATTAAAAAAAATGTAGTTATTTACAGAAATAGTTATTTGTGTATCGAGGCAGTAAAGTCGTATTTTTTATAACGAATGTGGAAATTATTTGGCGAGGCTAAGCCGATGCAAATAACCACGTGAGTGATAAAAAATGACTTTAATGCCGAGGTGCATATTAAATTTTATCCGAAATCACATTTAATAATTATAAAAATTAATGATCAAATCAAATGTCATTTGAATGTAGGAAAATTGTACGTATACTGTTTGTTGCGACGGTTATGATATATTTGCCCGCCGCGGCGATTTTTTAATTTAATTAATAAAATTAACTTATTATTTTTATTAAACAACATTTTATTAAAGGGTCCAATCGACCTCCGCGACTGTGCTTTTTTTTAATATTATTTAGTTGCTGCTGAGGAGCAGTAGACACATCTTAAAATGTATAATGGGTTGCATACAATACTCGTATTAAATCGGCAGTAAAGTTCTACTTTACTGCCGATTTATTTTACTTTACTGCCGACTGTTGACTACTTTACTGCCGATTTCGGATAAAATATAGTAAATGGAACATTATACTTGTTATCCAAGGGATATAACTGAATTCTAAGCTTAGACGTATTGAAAAAGAAAATCATAAAACAACAAACAATTTTGACTCCAAATGACAAGTGTTTTTTTACTTTAAACATGATTATCTCAAAACTAAACAAAATGTTCTTACACTCCTTGGCTTCTACGCTCCTCATATATAATTAGGTTTTGTTTCATTTTGGATCACGAATTCTATAAATTCATAATATAAAATAAAAACACTCTAAAATGCATATAATCAAAAATAGTATTGATGACTTGGATACTGTAGAGATTATTATCTATACTTGGGAATTATTGTTATACATAAGTATTAGATGCTACTGAATATTATAAGTAAAAATGCAATTAGTATAGAAGATAACAATAAAATTGTGGTAAATTGTTTTAACAAACTTTCAACCCCAATTCAGAAATTCTAACCCAAAAAAAAAACGAAAACCGAAATAGTTTTTCTTTACAAAACTATTTAAAATCCTCTTTAAAATCTTTTTAATTTTTTTCAATATTTCTCGTTACTAACCCAAATCATAAATTTCAATTTTGATTTCTCGTTTATTGAAAAAATAGATTTTGTGTGTACACTTTTGGTTTTTGTTTTATTTATTTTGTCGTTGTTTCCATATGAAATATTTAATAGTTTTTCGTTTATATTTATTAATCTTTAAATCCATTAACGATTTCCACAAATTTTACCAAAAGTAAGAAATAAATAAATCTTGGTACTTACCTCTTTTTTAAAATGGCATTTATCCGCAATAAGAGACTAAGTGAACATAAACCACTTCACAAAATTAACCAACATTATAACCCAAAAGTCCAAACAACTCAAAAAAAATCACCATCATCAACAATGTCGAAGATCGCCAAAGCTCGAAAAAATTCAAAAGAGGCGCGACCGCCGCATGATGGGACCGATGCTTAAAACAGTTGAATCAGACTGACCGATGATCACCCTATTCACCAGCCAATACCACCCCCTCAACCCCCTAAAGGATATCGGGCCCCGTTACAGTGTGTCGACCAACATTAAAATCATCGGCCAACTTGTAAAGTGTATCATCTACATGAGAGATATACCTTTCTTTGGTAGGCCATGCACTGGGTGTTTGACAGGTCTATACCCTAAAAACATTTTTAGTACCAACTTGTAGAAATATTTCTACATTTATACTGAATTTAGTCCTTTTGAAAGAACAAATGTTATAACATATATGGACAACTTACGTTAAATCATTTAGGTACCAACTTGTAGAAATATTTCTACATTTATACTGAATTTAGTCCTTTTGAAAGAACAAATGTTATTTATAACATATATGGACAACTTACGTTAAATTTACGTTATGCCTGGTAAATTCATTTAAGTAATATTGTACTACAAAGTTAGATAAACATTAAATTAACATTATTATTAACTTCTTGATTAATGTACCTTTTGGTTAAAAAGAAGTTTCGGCTTCATTCATTGGGAATATTCCATGGAATGATTCCCTAAAACTTCCAAGCACCATCTAAGAACATTCTCAGTGAATATTTTTTTCTGTCAAATTTTGAAAAAAATACATTCACAGGCAAAATAATCGATCCACACAAATTTTCGATGAATTTCAATCGCAAATAACTTTTTTATTTGATGTCGGATTTAAACGAATATTAAAGAATATTGTAGATAAATTACTGGACAATCGCTCACATTTTAAAAAATTACTAAAAAATAGACGTACGTTTATAATATACAGGTTTAAACAAAAATATGTTTTTTACCATATGTTTAAGACACTCTGTAGAGTGGCAAAACCGCATATTGTTCTAAATTATTTATATATTAAACAATTTGATAGCTTTTGAAAGCCGTGTATGACATGTCCAAGTATGGGATGATTCAACAAAACTGTCACTGTCATCCTCCATAGGCTATGGATGGACCATAGCAACCTTAGTTCTTTTTACAGGAAAAATATTGAAAATTGCAATGTTTTTTAAAACAATCCATATTTTCCACAAAAATAAATATACAAAACTGTTAAAAATAGATGTGACTTGATAATTAAAACTTAATTTAGAACAATATACGGTTTTGCCACTCTACAGAGTGTCTTAAACTTATAAGGTAAAAAATCTTTTTGTTTAAACCTGTATATTATAAACGTACCTACGTCTATTTTTTAGTAATTTTTAAAATGTGAGCGATTCTCCATTAATGTATCTACAATATTCTTTAATATTTGTTTAAATCCGAAATCAAATAAAAAAGTAATTTGCGATTGAAATTCATCGAAAATTTGTGTGGATCACTTAATTTGCCTGTGAGTGTATAGGTATACAAAGACAGCCGTTAGATTAAAAAATCCTTTAACTGTCAAAATAAAAAAACTGTTATTTTATACCTCTGATAAAAAATACAAAAGGTATGTATCTAAAAATAAGCATAATTTAAGGTAAGGTAAATATTATCTACATCCATTTACCAACTCCAATCCAATTTGAAGCTATTTGCCACAAAACGCGCTACAATCGATACACCCCTTCCAAAATCACTTGTTATTCGAATCAGGGCCTCCCATTGGTTGCTAAGACCGAATAAGGGATGCATAGGCCACGCCCCATCATACCTTGCACATAAACTGTATATTATTTTAACTAAGCCAACCTGATTGTGAAAAAAATGAGATTGACTTTATATTGTGCGATAAATGCCTAATAATACATATTGTTATATATAGGTATGGCATTTTTTAGTTCATTGTCTTTCAATCGTTGACAGTTGATTGGATATACCACCCTATCCGCTGGCCATATGACTCTACCTTTAATATAATATCAAATTCTTAAAATGTAAAGTTCATTCACGTGGAAGTTTAACATCCACACTAAAATTGATACCTAATCTATCTAATGCTGAAGTTTATTGCACTTCAGAGGAATTTTTCTGAAGATTTCTTATTGCAAAAATATGTATAAAAAATGTAGTAGGTCAAATTAGGGCACTCCTTTTTATTCTTGTGTAGATAACATTAATTAGATTATAATTATAATAATAATAGTAATAATAATAATAAAAAATGCCTGAAATTGTACGGCTAAAATATGTATATGTATATACAGGGTGTTGCATATAAAGTTATACCTTAGAAGTATTGGAAAATAATCTATTCATTAAGTAATAATAATAATCATAATAATAATAATCACGCTATAAAAATTTTTGAGAAAAATTAAAAAATAATTATCTCGTAAACTATTAATACAAAAAAAATATATAAAAATTTAAGAGGATGCTGATTTTTTAAGCTACCTAATAGGTAGTACCTATTATCAATTAGTTCATAATTTCAAAAGTTTTAATTCATTGGTTAGGGGACATCCATTAATTACGTGAGGCATTTTTCTGATAATTTGGACCCCCCTCCCCCTTGGTGAGATTTGGTGAGATTTTAGCCATTAAACTCTCTTTGCGGATGTAAAAAGAAATGATATCTATATTATGTTCGTATAGTAAATTGATTTTACTATAAAAAGAAATGATAAGTATATATATTATGTTCGTATAGTAAATTGATTTTACTATCTAGAAATAGTAATATTTACTATATGATTTAATTAAATGTAAGGTGTACATCTAATTTTATAATATATTACACATTAGAGTAATTCTTTTATAAACCGAACACCTTTTGACCGACACATCTCAGATTTGCTTGAAACTTTTTTTACGGATTCTATGTCGAAAAATAAGAGATACGTGTCCGAGGAATTTTTTTTCTCTCGCATATTTTCGATAATACAAGCTATCGAAAATTTGAGAAAAACTTCAATTTATTTGAAAAGTGAGGTTATGTCAAAAAATAGTTAAGTTAAAAATTGTATATCTTTTTATTATCTACAACTTTTATATTTGACTTTTTTGATCCGAGCTGTAGTTTTCTTTTTATTAACAAAAAACCGTTTTTTTATGTGTCGCGCAATACAAATTAATGTTTTAACAATAGTAATAATGAAGGTACCATATTTTGAAAACATGTTTTTTATGTAAAATTTGACGGAGAATACCCTACGATAAAAATACTAAAAACTTAATACGAGGTGGGGGCCATTGTTAAAAATTGATTTAAACAATGAAATTGTTAATAACAATATGAATTTGTTAATAATATTTATTAAAAATATTTTTTTATGAAAATTTAGTCCTTTAGCTTTAAAATGAAAAAAAAAGAAGTTTGTAGCTCAAATAGAACCAGAGTTATAAATTTTTAAAAATGAGTCTATAAGCCAAAAAACTCGTTATTCTCAAATTTTCGATAGCTTGTATTATCGAAAATATGCGAGAGAAAAAAAATTCCTCGGACACGTATCTCTTATTTTTCCACATAGAATCCGTAAAAAAAGTTTCAGCCAAATCTGAGATGTGTCGGTCAAAAGGTGTTCGGTTTATAAAAGAATTACTAATTAACAAAACATATATAAATATAAATACGGGTGACTTTGCACCCCGCGGGTGACTTTAACCCTTTATGAAAAATCTTTTCGCGCTCGATAAAATTAACATTTATAATTTGTTGGTCTAAACCTGTCAATTGAGCGATTCTATTGATTTTATATTACAGGAAAATCAGTGTTTTAAAGAAAGAAATGGGATTTATTACACTTAAAAATTGTATATATTGTATCAGTGCAAAACTCTTAAAAATACACGCGTTACAATTTCCTTGGTTAACTACAGGTCGATTTTTTATTTTTTTTATTGGTAATCCCTTGCAATAGATATATGTCGCTGCTAACACGTGTCTAATAAAAATAAAATATAATATTACATTCATTTTATACTGAAAAAACACTGTGAGACAAAGTAACCCGCAACCAGGGGGTAACTTTGCACACCCAGTGTTTAATGTTTATTTTTGAAACTCAGCCCTATGTAATATTATAACATAGTTATTATGAAAGAGCAACTCAAGACTTAAATTTTGGTATACAAAATTTAATGATTATGATTGTTAAAACCACAAAAATTTTAAGCTGAAGTTTGAAAGTGAGCCAAAGCCACCCGTGTTTACGGTAGTAAAAATAAAGATACTTTTATGTTTAAGGTAAATAAACAATATATTTAAATATAATATGCAATATAGTAACTCATGGCATTTTAAACATTCAATTTTCTTAGTTTCTTCAATAAAATTTCTTGACCCATTACTGGTAATACTTATAAGAAAGAATTGAACTTACTTGGTTGCATAGTATGTACCGATTAAGGCAAAGACGTTGTGAATCACGTGATGTTCTTACATCTCGCCTCTGTTGGCTTACCAACCATGTTATATAAGCTCAGGTATTTCTTTGTTTTGGGTGTGTTTAGGGATGGGCGGTTATTGTAAAAAAACAGGTTAACAGTTAACCGGTTATTTTTAAAGACCAGTTAACCTAAGACAGGTTAACTGGATAGAAAATAACCGGTTATGCAATAACCGGTTAATAATAACCTTTTCTGGCGACTTTTTAGAATAATTATTTTCTACACTGGTGTAAGTTAGTGAAGCAATATTTAAAACTGATTGCTTAAAAAGAACACTAGCAAACACCAGTGCAGGTTATTATAGCATCAACAAACAGACCATATGGAGCTCCAGTACTTAGTATCAGTAATAAGTCCTTGTAGTTGTAATAAAAGGATATTATACGATTACCTATATGGTTAAAATAAAATCCTACATGTGTATTTAAAAAAAAAAATTAACACAAAAGCGCCATCTCATTTTTAGTCTATAAACTAATAATGAGAAAGTTCCATGATTGCCAATCATTAATTGGTTTGTCAGGTCTGGTGAAATTTCTTCAGATTTGGTGATTTTATTTTATTCTGGTGATTTTGTAAAAACTTTTATCA